GCTTGTTGCCATAGTCATTGTCCTCTCCTCAACAAGATTCAACTAGCATAAAATCTAAATCGCAATGCAGACCACGGATCAAAAGTTGCAAGTGACCCAAAGTCCTGGATGTGAATATAGCCTTGCATAGGACCAGGGACAATTTCCCTAAAGATATGCCACCTTGATCATTCAAAATTGGCAGCTTCCCCCCCCCCTCCCCATTTCAAAGGATCAGTAGAGACAAGTTCCTTTTCTATCTCAGAATGATCCATTTTTTTCTGTCTCTGTTTCTGAAAGTGCTTGGTGTTATGCCTATGTCTTTCAATACCTACCTGCTTATTTTTCCTTTCAATTCTGAATACTTTTTCAGCCAACATCCTGAGTTCTCAATCCAAATGAATACAGACTTTAGGATTCTTTGTAGGGGATAGGATCTTTATGCTGAATATTTACCTTTTGTCACCCTCTTTCTTTCATAAACTGAGTGGTTTATACATAGCACACCAACACAAAATTAAAGCCAGAATAATTGTACGAAAACACACTACTTCCCAATCCTGTCAATTCCCAGTCTTTCAACAGAATCAACATTTAATTTCTTTCAATGTAAATGTCTACATTTTCAAAGCCACCCAGGCCTATCTAATTGTAATATATATTGCAATTACATTACCTGTGTACTCTAAATGAAAGCCAGCAGCCGACACACTAATATCTGACTGAAAGTTTAAGTACAAATTGTTGGATGTACTATTAAGAAGTGGAGGTATTGTAGTTCCTGGGGAGGAAAAAGAAGTTTCCAAATTATTAATTTGCAATTAATTCTGTTATTTTTCCCCTTCATTTAGAGTTTTATCTATAAATATAAGCTATGTCTTAGGTTACCATTTGTAGCCATTTCAAAAAGGGTGCTTTTTGATGAACAGTGTTTGCTTGGCTATCTGGCTATGAAGTAGCCATAGGACCCAGTCAGCCGTGTTGGTTCTTGGTGACTAAGATTGGGAAGAAGCAGAGAAAATTCCCATATTCATTCATTCATTCATTCATTCATTCATTCATTCATTCATTCATTCCTTTCAGTTTAAGTAAGGCTTAGAAAGGGAGCTTAAAGTAGTAAATCAAAGAACTGAAAAGCATGAGAAAAGAAAAAAAGAAAGTGAAATATAGCTACATCTAGTTTATAGTTAAACACCATTCATAATCCCTCTCCATACCTTTATATCTTTGCAAACTATGCTAGCTTCCACCACACCTATGGACCTCCTCATATACTTTCAATAGTAGGCCTGATATTTATAAAAATCAACAAAATTACCCCACCAGTCAGTCTGCCTGATGATTGGAGCCTTGCAATTATACCAAGTTCATGAAACACACACCCAGTTTGCACTGCTTGTGCAAATGAATTTACACACATACACACACACAAGCTTGCACTATGCAGCAGATCTATACCTTACACCTAAAATTAAACCATGCAGCACCTTCAGAAAGTTTAAATATGTTATTATTTAAAACAAAAAATGATAGTAAGTTGTGACAAAGTCAGCAGTTTTTCTGTTTGGTCTGTCTTCCTGCTTGGTCCCCTAAGTTAGCTACCATTTCAATTGTTCCTTACAGCATTATTCTGGTGCATTAATGAAAAAATAAAATGGCATATGGCTCCCAGGCATAACTGCTACCAACTGTTGAAGCCATAAACAGATAAAGGAGTGGGTACGTGGACCAGAAAGTTGGGATCACTCAGGGCATTTATTATTGTCCTCTAAACTGAGAATCCAGGGTTATCAGTGGTAAAGTATGAATACTTTGGTTGGCATTGATGAAACTTTCTGGCAACAGTGTATCCTAGCAGTAAAATATAGTTAGAAGTAAAGCAGAACAATTCAGAAGAATGTGATGTGATGACAAATATTTTTGCAGTGAGGGTTGAAAGCTGAACAACACTAGATTTTTAATAAGGTGAAAGGGCCTTGGAGCACCTAACATGTGTAATTTATAAGCATATTCAAACTTTTGGAAAATGAAGATAGCGTTTATTATTTTTGGCATAGCACAGAGATGTCTAAACTAGCTGAAGAACTTGATTGAGAATTGAAATCTATGAAAAAGGCAAGGCAGATCAAGCATGCAAATTACTATTATTTCTTTTTTTCTTTTCTTCTTCTACCCACATACAGAGTAAATAATAATGCTTAGAAGGAGAAAAATAGGAAAAATCAAAAGCAGAAGGACCCAAGGTTCAAGGCTCAGTTTGAGAGAGAAAGGGGAAGAACAGTGGGAAGATTAAATGACTCAGAATTATATAGAAGTGTTGTGCTCAGAACGTTCCAGGGTTCCATACTTTAGCCAACCTTGGCCTTTTATAATAATATTCAACTTCCTCTCAGCTTATGTACCACAAAATCCTTAAGATCCATCTGCTTTTTAAAATCCATTGTAAATATAATTCAAATTGCCTTGCACTCAGAATATATTGCATGTATATCAGTTAATGTTGTGTGCGTTTCCAGTAATATATAGACTGTGTTGTGGCAAAAGGTAATAAAATCAGCTTCAGTGCTGTCAAAATTTTATGGTAGTACTAGGTAATGAAACCACCATGAATCAGACATGCAGTTCCCTTACTTGTTCCACAAAATGGTGCTTTCAACACGTTTATGTATTACATGAATGCGATTCAAGGTATTTTATACTTGGCATCTTCATTCCTAGCACACACATTGATGATTTACCATGAAATGGAACACCAGAAAAGAACTTATTATTTTCATTCACCTGAATAGCTTCCAAGCCTTGGAGCGTTGTTATCAGCACCATCATAAAAATCTAAAGAGTCCCAGTTATGCTCTGTTGCAAAACTTATCACCTGTACCTATAAAGGAGAGAGAAATAATGCAAATATTACAAGACAATATGGAACTCCTCTACTTCACATTACATCTCCAGAAAGGAGTCCATATTGGAGTTTTCATTCAGAGTTATGTATTTGAACTAAATATTGGATGTCACCCAAATATATTTCTGAATATGCCTTCATGAACAGTAATCTTATAGTAATAATGGAAATCTCCCCCCTGCCCTACCCCCAAGTGTCATTCGATGCCTGCAAATAGAGATGTTGTAAATAGCTATGTAACAGTACACTGTATTTACTTCTCAGTTAGTGGGATATGGAGAACAGTTTGTTGGCTTGCAAGGTAGTCTCTGCAATAAAGACTGTAGTTGTGTGAAAGCCTCAACTGATCAAAGTTATAATGGGCAGCAGAAGTCAATACTGATGGAATGCAAGAGGAATATGTGATACAGAGCATTAATTAATTAATTAATGGAAAATGGAAAGCATGCTTTGTGTGCCTATGAAATGAAGGGAGAGGGGAGGAATAAAAGATCTGAATGGTGGTGGTCTTATCTTATGGAGTTAATGAATGCACACATGCAGGAACATGAACATGTAGGCATAATTATGAATAAAAGGGCTAAAATATATGTCAGGATTTATTAACTGGTATATAGATTAAAGTGATGCACCTGAAAGTAGTTCATAGATAGATGGTAGTTGCACATTAATGGAAATGAATAGTGACACTGAAAGAACCAGAATGAGTTTTGAGGGAAAAGATATAAGATCTTCTAAATGAATGTGTCTTGGGGTTGGGGATAGAGATATGCTACTTGATACATGGATGAGTGGGAACAAGATGAGAGAATATATAAAAATGACTGGGCCATTCAGAGTCTCAGGAATGGATAGGAATGAATTAGGAGTTAATACAGATCTAAAGGCATATGAATATAGATAGACCGAAAAGCATAATTGCTTTGATAATTTATGACAAAAAAAATGAAAATAATGAGGATTTTAAGGGTGGTGGTGCAACATATGGACAAAATAATGGTTGGTAGTATCAAGAATGGAACTTGGAGGAATATAGGACCAAGATTCCAAAGTTTGTGGGAAATTTCCAACCAATCTTAGGGAACAAAAATCTTAGATGCAGTGGGAACAAACATGTTCTTTCACAATTCCTCTGCCCATAAGTTTTGCTTTGTTTTATTTTTCTTTTGCAATTTCTTTCCTTAATTGGTCCCTACTAGCTTATAAACCAGCAGGAAAAGTCAGCCAAGAGGACAATTGCACAGAAAATGCAATTGACTGGAATATTAAATGCAAACAACCAAATAGATTTGCTACATAGTGATCAGGCAAGAAGAGGGAGAGAAAAAGACATTTAGAAGGTACTGACATATATGTAATGAATGTGTGTGTGTAAGTGTAATGAAGGTCCTTTTCTGTCTTTGCACATTAGTTAAATGGGAATTTTCTTCTGAAACCAGTCTGGAAGAAAGGAAGATACTGTATTTCTTCCTACAAGTCTTCATTTTATTGTACGGTCATCTTCCAAGTGGCCTGTAGCTTCCATGATTTTCCATGCACCTAATAAACCCAAGGGGATCCCAGTTAAAGCTAATAATGAAATAAATATTTCTACTGGGTTTTGCAGCAGCAGTCTTCTGTCACCCCTTTTTAAGGCTACGTTAATAGAAACATCATTTGCAAATTACAAGTTATACTTTATTTTATATTTGTCAAACCCTATCTCAAGTATTGTCTCCAGTTATGGATATCACACTTTTAGAAGGATTCAGAGACATGGGAACAAGTTATTTGAAGACAGGAAGATTAATCAAGGAGCTAGAAATTAAGATCTGAGAAGGAGGAGGAATTGGGCATACTTAGCCATAAGAAGGTAAGACTAAGGAGAGATATGACAACATTCTTCAAATATCTGAAAAGGGAACTCACAGAAGAAGGTCAAGAGTTGTTCTCTATAATTTCAGAATGCAGAAAATGGAATAATGGTTTCAGTTACAGAGAGGCAGATTTTGACTGAATGTTAGAAAAAGCTTACTAACATCAGAAGAATTATGCAGACAAGTGATGAATTTCCATTCAATGGATGGATTCAAGGAAAGTCTAGAAAGTCATCAACTATCAAGGGTGCTTCTTCACATGTTAGAGGGGTGACCTAATATTCCCTTCCAACTTTATGATTTTATGATTCATATGTTTGGAAATGTAGAATGTAAGTGTTCTATAAATCGATGATCTATGGAAATACTAAATACAGTTATTGAGGAGAATGTTCCACATCATATTTATCACAGTATTTCCTTTACTTTCATCATCAAGTATAAGACACAGGGGAAGGTCCAGTTTGGCCATTACTTTGTTCATATACCAATGCTCCTAAGTTAGAATGACTGATATAATTTGGGTTTTAGTATAATTAGTTGATAACTAGATAAATGGCTTAAATTACTACAGGTACCACTTTTTTTTCACATTGTCAGTTAATTAACTTTTCAAAACCAACATTAAAAATGGTTCAAAGGTACTTTGCATGATTATGATTCAAAAAATACTCCCTTCATCCCTGCTCTGGTTGTTATTATAAGAGCTGTTAAGGCAAGGTTATAAATTTCTAAAGCTGTCAGAATTCTTAGATGAGAAAAAAGGACTTATAGTGAATCAGATAGTTCTCACTATGACAGAAATCTGAGCATGTGTGTGTGGGTGGAACTGCTAGTTCCTCAGATAATATTGTTTCTTAGAGAATCCATTATACAACCAAATAGGAAAAACTAACCAGCTGCCTTAAAGAAATAGAATTTGCTTTGACTAGCAGTAGTTCTCCAACAATGACTTTCTCAGCAGAACTGGTTCATGTCAAACACTGAAGCTTGCCAAATCTCCCACCAAGGAAGAGCTGTACATCATGATTAAATGCTACAAATTAGGATCAATTATTTATCTTGGCTATTTATTCTATGTTAACACATTTAATCCAAAGAAAGATTTCATACATTATCTCATAACCACATTCCAAAGTTATATCATATAGGCATGTATTCATGTTTGCATGCATGTCTTAAAGATGTCCAGAGATCTGGATTTGAAGGGCAAACTCTGGCTGGGAGCATGTGTTGGTGTATAGGTAGTACCTAAATCAGTTAGGTCTTTTCCTGGGTAATCACAGTTGCCTTCTGCAGCTGATATGCAAGTACACACACACACACACACGCACACACACACACACACACACACACAC